ACGTCGGAAATGAGTCGGTAGCACATACTTAGACCATTCCACATCTTATTTCAGTATCGCGATCTTTATTTTGTTTAATATTGAAATTTTTTTTGACGCTTCGAAATTTGTGAAGTTAGCAGCCTAGCAGACTGGCAGCCTAGCAGCCTAAAGAAAACTAAGAATAGTACAAACATGAAAACCGTCGGAAATGAATCGGTAGCACATACTTAGACCATTCCACGTCTTATTTCAGTATCGCGATCTTTATTTTTTTAGATATTGAACTTTGTTTTTTTTTTATTATTTTGATACTTCGAAATTTGTAAAGTTAGCAGTCTAGCAGCCTAAAGAAAACAAAGGATGATACAAACATGAAAACCGTCGGAAATGAATCGGTAGCACATACTTAGACCATTCCACGTCTTATTTCAGTATCGCGTTGTTTATTTTTTTTAAATATTGAACTTTGTTTTTTTTTTATTTTGACACTTCGAAATTTGTGAAGTTAGCATCCTAGCTGCCTTAAGAAAACTAAGGATAGTACAAACATGAAAACCGTGGGAAATGAATCGGTAGCACATACTTAGACCATTCCACGTCTTATTTCAGTATCGCGTTGTTTATTTTTTTAAATATTGAACTTTGTTTTTTTTTTATTTTGACACTTCGAAATTTGTGAAGTTAGCATCCTAGCTGCCTTAAGAAAACCAAGGATAGTACAAACATGAAAACCGTGGGAAATGAATCGGTAGCACATACTTAGACTATTTCACGTCTTATTCCAATATCGCGATCCTCATTTAAACAAGAGGGACATGATGGCCCTGAAATCGCTCACCTGTATATAGGTCCCCGGGTCGGAGCCATTTTTAACCCAGTGCCTTTTTTGAGCAAACTTGGTAGACACCCATTTGAAGATGTTTCATGATAAATATCTAAGCTTTAGCTGTAATAAGATTTTTTAAGTTTTTACAATAGTCATATTGGGAAAACAATGACACCCACCCTCTGGGCGAGGGCCAATTTTTTGTCCCCAAAGGCTTTTATTTGAACAAACTTGGTAATCACACACTAATAGATAGTTCATGCTTTATATGTTAACTCTAGCTCTTTGGGTTTTTTAAAAGAAGATTTTTTAGGTTTTTACTATATACATATAAGGAAAATCAATGATCCCCGGGGCGGGTCCAATTTTATCCCCAGGGCCTTTATTTGAACAATAAATGGTAGACACCCATTAGAAGATGTTTCATCCTAATATATAATAGCTCTAGCTCTTAGAGTTTTTTTAAAAGAAATTTTGTCAAGTATTTAATATATACATAAAGGGCTGCTAGGCTGCTAACTTCAAAAATTTTGAAGCGTCAAAATAAAAAAAAAACAAAGTTCAATATTTAAGAAAATAAAGATCGCGCTACTGAAATAAGACGTGGAATGGTCTAAGTTTGTGCTACCAATTCATTTCCGACGGTTTTCATGTTTGTTCCATCCTGCTAGGCTGCTAACTTCACAAATTTCGAATCGTCAGAATGAAAAATATTATGTTAAGATAAAGTTCAACATCTTTAAAAATAAAGATCACGATATTGAAAAAGGCGTGGAATGATCTAAAGAAGTGCTACTAATGTATTTCTGACTGTTTTCATGTTTGTACTATTCTTAGTTTTCTTTAGGCTGTTAGGCTGTCAGGCTGCTAGGCTGCCAACTTCAGGCTGTTAGGCTGCCAACTCCACGAACTTCAAATCCAATAGTTCATAGTTTGCTAATTAAACTTTTGTGCTTTTCTCGATACGATTGAAAAATTTTGACATATTGTTACCGCATATTTTCATCAAAATATTATCGCATAGAAAATTAGGAAATAACTACCTATAAGTCGAACACGATAACGTTTACATTAATCGGTCATACCATTATGATATAATGGGTTGTGCAAGTTATTCAGTTATTACACTTTACATTTTTAATGCAAAATAGAAGAATTAAAGTGGAAATGGGCATATAAATCCAGGTAGTGTAGTGGTTAGACAGTTCAGTTTATGAAGAGAAAGTTAAGAAAAAAAAATCGGAGTTCAAATCTGCCATTGTGCAATATTTTTTGTGTTTTTATGTTTTTTCCTTTCAAAAACTTTTTTATATCGTCTTATAAACCTGTGATTTATAATTTTGTACAATTTAAAGTTAAACTTACAACGGTTTAGCAAAATTAAATGAATTTGATTTTAACAGTCATTGAACAGATTGAAAAGTATTGTCAATTTAATACTATTTAAAACTCAAATGAATTCAATTTGCTACATTTTTAAAAATTTCGGCTCAATTGTATATTTAAATAACTTCAAATCCTCATTTATCACTCTAATCACGACTGTGCCTGTTACTTAATTAACCTGTCGAAAGCGAATGTGTGTAAAACTAAACGTTCTCAAATAGTATTGTATGTACTAAATTCACGCGGAACTAAAATTCAGATCGTTTAAATAAATAAATAAATAAAAAAAAATACGAAAAGAAAAAATGCCTTTTCCAGGAATCGAACCAGCGTGTTTACACTGACAAAGCCAACACTCAACCACTACGCTATTACGTTTAACAGTTAGAAATGAGTTTACATTATTTAGGTGATTAAAGACTTATCCGACAATCATATGCTGTTATATAAGATTTATCGACACCCCTAATTGTCAATATTGATGTAAACAGATAATGAAAGGAATAGCGAATTCGAGCTGTACCACCGGAACCGGGCAAAAAATGGTACGGAAGACGGGATATGATTAATTATTCAAATATTGAGAAATATTAAAAAAAACAGCAATTGCATTTAGTAATGCGTGCGGCCTATAAGCAAAGACCAAATGTTACGGTAATATATGTCACGTGATTACCCCACTTATTAAGATTTTAATATCTATAAAATTTTATAATGCATTTTGTTTTGTTTTGCAGACGATATAAGCGTGGCTTTTTAGACATTGACACTGGTAGTCGAGCAACTCAGAGGCTACCTACAACAACAGTCTCACAAACGACAACAACAGCATATCCTACTATTTATTTCATGACATCCTAAAGTACCGCGCCAACAGCGGCAATAATAACAACAACAACAACAACTAGTCTCAAACCCGTCTACACCCCCTGATCGTACTAGTGTTTCAACGACAACCCAAAGTCATCCACCAGAAAAACTAGCAGCGGCAACAACAACATTCTCAAAACCGTCTACATCCCTATATCGTACCAGTGTTGTCACGACATCACAAAGTTCCCAACTAGAAAAACTAGCAGTGGTAGCAACAACAACTAAAACAGTCTCAAACCCGTCTACACCCCAGAGCGTACTAGTGTTACATCAACGACACCACAAAGTCGACCCATCAGAAAAAAACTAGCAGCAGTAGCAACAACAGCTACAGTAACAACAGAAAACATTATCAGGTACAGCTTTATATTTTGACACTTTCAGAAAAATGCACATACACAAATGTATCAACCAAAGAAAGAATTAAAATCATTCATATAGAAGCAAACCACTGAGCTTTCCGAAAGGATCGAATACGAATGAATTCCCTCACGTCCTCTCATTCAAAACTGTGAAGTTGTCAAAAACCAAAAAAAAGTTGTCAAAAACAAAACAAACATTTCACAAAAGAGACTACAACAAGCGCTGGTCACAGTGATATCTAAGACCTCGCATATATTTCTTTCATAATCATTATTGTAAACATATCTATTTCAATAACCAAAACCTCCTAATTAGCAAAGACAGAGACGGACCAGCAGCAGAAGAACACAAGACAAACATACGAGTTTGTTCCTTAAAAAAAATCTACATGTCTTAATTTTCTAATGGCCTATCAAAACAGGAACATTTTGCCGTTTCAAAGTTCAGCGTTGCTATGCTTAGATCATGAAGACCAAAAAACCTCACAACCTTATACTTTGCTTAAAATTGAAACACGATTTATATCAAGTTTGGTCCAACATATACAGAAGAAAACTCTTCATTAAAATACCTAAAACAATCCTAATGAAATCACCTGAATAATTGTGCTCGGCGTGAGCTATATGTAAAGTGCTAGCAGAACACAGTTTATATGTGCTTAGGTAAGCGTAATTGCTAGCAAATGCTACGATGCTATGGTGGGCTAAAAATGCTAGCAATACAGTTATATATGTGCTCATGTTGAGCATTTGCTAGCAAACACGCGTTGCTATGTGCTAAGGTGAGCTTAATTGCTACAAAAAAAAACGGCTGATTTGTGCCTGCTAGTAAGGCAGTTGCTTTGTGCTGAGGTGAACTAAACTGCTTGGCAAAAAGGCAGTTCCTGTGTCTAAGTGAGCTAAATTGCTAGCAAAAAACAATTTTATGTGGTCATGTGAGCTTTACTGCTAGCAAAAAACATTTGTTATTCTATTATTTTGTGAATCTTTGTCTGCCTTGTTGAATTTCAGCATCACCTTACACTATCATAACACCCATGAAATATGATAATATTTCAATATTAATGAAAGCAAGACAATAAATTGCCTAGACAATATGCAAACAAAATGATGAAGCGTAATTTCCTGAATTATAAATAAATTTTCACCTTTATAATAATACATTATTAAATTCCCAAGCAATTTAATATGTTTGTACAATACTGAATGGTTTATAAACAAATCTAGCATGTCAACAGCATGTTTAATTATTCTCTAAATGCAAACTTTAATGGCTGTGAGAGATAATTAAATGCCATTCTGTTGTTATTTATCAAAGCTTTGTCAGAAGGTGATCCGATTTCATCTTACATCTTTGTTATATGTGCAAAGGATTTAGGTCCATTTATCAAGCAAAATAACACCATTTATTATAGACTTATAAATGAAATGGTTGAAATGGAACAATACAAAGAAACCATATGTCAACACCGTATAAATATGAACAATATTCTAATTAAGATCTAACGATTTCGAACCTATCTGGTTCTACATCAGGATAATTTGTACAAAATATATACAAATTATGTAAGATGGGTAATTCACGCGGTAGATAAAAATTGTAACAAAATTAATAGTTTTCTATAAAAAGATCAAATCTTGGAAACTTGCCAGCAAAGTTTGTGGAAGTGTGCAAAGTTTTTGTTTTATCTTTGTTAATTAGTATTTTGGAAGATGCCATTATATGCTTTGAATGTTGATAATAAGTTCATTTTTATTATTTTACATCAAATACTGATCTTGGCAAATTGTTGATGTCCAAAAGGTGTTGCTAGGATGATGTTCTACTGACTTAGCAGTCAAATTCGTCCAGAAATGTTAATATCTTCTATATTTTCTATATTAGGCCTTTTGTACGTTTTCTTCATTTTTTAACGTTAATTGTCCAGTCTTCCCGTGCATTCTGAAATTTGGCGTTTTGTAGATCTTGTTCTTTTGATGATGTTGCAAATTTTAAATGAATTTTTTTAAAATTATACTGATGAAATAAAATGCATACATTTTGCATAGTTTTTTTTTGTTCACTGTACAAATTTATTTTTCACTGCAGTGAAACATATTTTCTGTATTTTGCCTTTTTAAGCATAAAGCAAACCATTTTAAGCTCGTGGTAACGAATTTGAGTCCCAGGCAATACGGGATGTTTAGCTCACCTGAGCACAAAGTGCTCAGCTTTCCTCATGGCAGTGTGTCCGACGTTAGCCGTTGTCCACAATTTCTCTTTACAACAATTTTTAAACCGCTTGATGAATTTTGACCAAACTTTACAAGAATGATCCTTAGGTGGTATGACATGTGATTCCATTCTTCGTAGATCTTTGAAAATCATATCCTTAGAAATTACAATGCCACGGGCTAGATATTTGTCATGAAGCACTTTGAAGCAGACATCTACATACTTTTTAAAAATTATGCAGCCTAGAGAAAATATGTGACTGCCTCACTGGCTTTACCTTTTCTACAGCATGAATCTCAGGTGAGCGATCCGGAGCTTTGATACACAACCTTTCTTGTTATATAAAAGCTATCTTTACTAATTGGTTTTAATTCTACAAGAAAATGCAGATCAGCAAACACGTCGGGCGAGGAATAACTTCAGATATAATTTTAGTGTCTTTATATTCTTGGTTAGCTTGTGGTAAGTCATTCAATATTTCATTTGCAGAATTTAATGGTATTTTTCATAAACAGAAATTATTTAAAAAGTTTACGGGGCAATGTAATAAAAAAATTGACTTCGAAAGGAATATCAATGACCAAAATTTTATCAGCTAAATGAAAAGTAAATGGTAATAATGATGATGATGAAAATTATAATATTAAGAATGAAAGTGGTGATTATGAATATGATGAATAAACTAGTTATCTATTAAGAAGGCGATATCTTTTACAGCTGAAGACGATAACAATGCGGCATTGTACAAAGGTGTTCACTTCCCTAAATCTCAGAATGTTCTTCCAGTAGTAGTCGGGTGAGTAAAGACTTGCATAACTTATTGCCGATATCGGACTGTCCAGTCCTAGAACTTTTTGCGAAGACCGGTTTGACAATTCCTGAATTTTATTGCTAACACCGGACTGACCAGTACTTAGTGTAAGACCGAATTGACCACATAAAAAAGTTTATTCTGAGGCCGGATTTACCACATAGTAAATTTAATTCACCACATAGAAAACTTAATTCTGAGACCGGATTTACAACATTAAGAAGTTTATTCTGAGACCGGAAGTCCCAGAAATTATTACTTAGGTTATTACTAATGCTGGAGTCACAGGTCCTTTAACTTACTGTTTCGCCAGATGATTGACCAGCCTAAGAACCTGTTGTCTAGACAAAACTGACCTGTCAAAGACTCTGCTGCGGAGACTAGAATAATCGTACATTTGAAAAGGAGTAATTTGATTAAGGGTTGGTGGTCACGTGACGATGGTTTACGTAAACATTGGGACACAGACTAATGGCCATGCCAACAACTTAAAAAGATTTTTTCCGTTTACACACCGTGTTCCAGGCAAAAAATTCCAAATCCTATGGTTCATAGTTTGCCGATATAACTTTTTGTGCTTTTCTCGAAAAAATTGCAGAAATTGTGACACACTGTTACCGTAAACATGTATTTTCATAAAAATATTGCCGCATAGAAAATTTGGGAAAATTACTACGTACCATCGGAATCTGCAAAAAAAATACATGAAAGGCGGAATATGTTTATTATTTAAATATTGCAAAAGATCAAAAGAAAAATTTACAAATGCATCTAAGTCATGGGTGCAGCATTTCGCAGTGACCAAACGTTACGGTGACTACCCACCCTGTTAGGTTTTAATATCTACAAAATTTATAATGCATTTTTGTTTTTGTATTGTAGACGATACAAGCGTGGCTTTGGTAACATTGACACTGGTAATCGAGCAACTGAGAGAACGTCCCCAACAACAGTCCAACAACCGCCTACACCCCCAAAACGTACAAGTGTTGCCACGACATCCCGAAGTACCGCACCAGAAACACCAACAGCAGCAGCAGCAACAACAACAACAGTAACAAAACCGTCTACACCGCCAGATCGTACTAGTGTTTCCACGGCAACCCAAGGTTACCTACCAGGAAAAGCAACAGCGGCAGCAGCAACAACAATCACAAAACAGACTACAACTCCAGATCGTACAAGTGTTTCCACGGCAACCCAAGGTAACCTACCAGAAAAAGCAGCAGCAGAAGCAGGAACAACTACAACCGTCTCAAAACTGTCTACACCCCTAGACTGTACTAGTGTTTCATCAATCACACCACTAAGTCACCAACCAGAAAAACCAGCTGCGGTAGCAACAAGTACAGTAACAGCAGAAACAAAAATACAAATTGTTTACACAACACAAACAGGTACATTTCTGATAAATATAGCCTTATTTTGTACTTTCGGAATAATGCACATTCACAAATTAATCAACTAATCAACCAAAGAAAAAATTAAAATCATTCATATAAATACAAACCACTGAGCTTTCCTAAGAATACGAATAAAATTCCCTCCCGTCAGATACAATAAGTCGTCTCATAAAAAAGTAAAAAAACAACTTTCCTTATAAAAGTAAAGAATATTGCATTTATTATAATCACTGTTAAACTTTAAATGTTGCAACATTTCTTTTCTCACTACATACTATTTTTTCGGGGATTTTACTCATTTTAGTCCGTATTCCTTGTTTTATGACTTTTAATCTGTTTACGATGTGAACGTTTTTTTTATAAAAATGTCCAATACCATATAAGGAACTCTTATCTTGTCTTACAGGTGAAAATGTAACAGATACAACAAAAGAGACTACATCAAGCGCTGGTCACGTGATATCTAAGACGCTCACATATATTTCTTTCATTATTATTATTGTAGAATATATTCTATTTCAATAACCAAACCTCCTAATTTACAAATTTAAAGACATAGAGTTTGTAGAACATACGGACGCACAGATGAACACAAGACAAACATACGAGTTTGTTTCTAAAAAAACAATCAACAGGTTATAATTTTCTAATGGCCTTATCAAACAGACATTTTGCCGTTCAATTTTCAGCGTTTGCTATGCTTAGATCATGTAGATCAAGTGACCAAAAACATCACAGCTTTCTTTATTATACTTATACTTCGCTTAAAATTGAACCCGATTCATATCAAGCTTGTCCAACATATAAAGAAGAAACTCTTCATTAAAATACCTAACCAATCCTAATGAATCACCTATGAATGATGTGTGCTCGGGTGAGCTATATGTAAATTGCTAGCAATGGCTACGATGCTATGATGGGCTAAACTGCTAGCAAATACAGTTTATATGTGCTCATGTGAGCTTATTTGCTAGCAAACACGATTGCTATGTGCTAAGGTGAGCTTAATTGCTACCAAAAAAACAAAACAAAAAAAACCGGCTGATTTGTGCCTGCTAGCTAAGGCAGTTGCTTTGTGCTGAGGTGAACTAAACTGCTTGCAAAGGCAGTTCCTGTGTCTAAGTGAGCTAAATTGCTAGCAAAACAATTGTTATGTGGTCATGTGAGCTTTACTGCTAGCAAAACATTAGTTATTCTATTATTTTTGTAATCTTGTCTGCCTTGTTGAGTTTCAGCATCACCTTACACTATCATAACACCAATGAGTTAATATGATAATTTTCAATATTAAGGAAAGCAAGACAATAAATTGCCCAGACAATATACAAACAAAATGATGTAGCGTCATTTCCTGAATAATAAATAAATTTTCACCTATATTATAATAACACATTAATAAATTCCTCGCCAATATTGTATGTTTGTACAATAATGAATGGTTTACAAACAAATTTAGCCTGTTAACATCATGTCTAATTATTCTCTAAATGCAATCTTTAATGGCTGTGAAAGATGATCTAATAACATTCTGTTGTTATTTATTAAAGCTTATTGTCAGAAGGTGATCCAATTTCATCTTACATCTTTGTTTAATGTGCTGAATTTTAGGTTCAGTTATCAAGCAAAATAACATCATTTATAAAATACTTATAAATGAAAAGGCTGAAAAGGAACAATACAAAGAAACCGTACCGCAACACCGGATAAATATGAACAATATTTGAATTAAGATCTATCGGTTTTGATCTTCTATGGTTCTTCGTCAGGATAATTTGTACAAAATAAATCTATCTAAGGTATACAAATTGTGTAAGATGGTAAGTCACTGGTAGATAAAAAAAAATCGTAACAAAATTAATAGTTTTCTAAAAATAGTTCAAAAACTAGGAAAATTGCCAGCAAATTTTGTTGAAGTGTGCAAAGTTTTTTTATCTATGTTTATTAGTATTTTGGAAGATGCCATATATGCTTTGAATGTTGATAATAAGTTCATTTTTATTATTTTATATCAAATACTGATCTTGGCAAATTGTTGATGTCCAAGAGGTGTTGCTAGGATGATGTTCTACTGGTTTAGCAGTCAAATTCGTCTAGAAATTATAATATCTTCTATATAAGGCCTTTTGTACGTTTTCTTCATTTTTTAAACTTTAATTGTCCAGTCTTCCCGTGCATTCTGAAATTTGGCGTTTTTAGGTCTTGTTCTTTTGATGATGTTGCAAATTTATAAATGAAATTTTTAAAATCATTCTGATGAAATAAAATGCATATATTTATTTTGAATAGTTTTTTTTTCACTGTACAAATTTATTTTTCACTGCAGTGAAAACATATTTTCTGTATTTTCACTGGTGTCTTGCTGGACTACTTCCTTCTTAATAAAGAGAAAAAAGTATATAATAATCAGAAAATTCATGTATTTTCTACAAATACATGATTATTTTCATTGAGTAATATGAAATATGATAATTTTCAAACCAAAAATGTTAGAACTTAGAGGACCATTTAAGGTATCCACCTACCAAATATGGAAGATATCATTAAATAAATTAACTTATAAGGACAAATTTAAGATAAATCCAACTGGAAAAAATAGGTTAATGATACAAAGCCTTATTTTCAAAGTGAAAAAGTAAAAATACTGGGAAATATGGATGGCACAGTTATATAACTTGGCAACTTCATGTGCTTTGTATTGACAAGTGTTACAATTATGAATCCATTTGTATAGATAGATAAGGATAAATAAAACTTGATGGTTTAGGTTAACCATAACCATTTTAAAAGAGCTGACAAGGGCAATAATTTGGTAAAAATGGAAGCAATAGTGATTTAACTTGCCCTTATCATGTACTTTGAATTGATAAGTGTGTAAATTATGAAGCCATACTGGTTTGCTTGTTTGTAAGTTGCATTTTACGCCTTTTCCGAACAGTATATCAGTCATATAGGCGGGTAGTTTCCTAACCATCATTCCTGGAGAGTTACACCAGTACTAGACTACCTTCCTCCGCGCTAAGCTACCAAAGCCTCTCCCGGGGATCAACCCACGCCAGAGAGGTTACTGGATTAGAAGTCATTGACTCTAACGCCTCGACCAGGGAGGCGGTCTTAACCCATACAGGTTAATCTTACAGCTAAAACTTATAGTTATAACCAACTTGCCAGTTTAGGTTAACCTTTTACAGACAGACAGATGGACGGTTCAATTACTACAGTGTATAAATAAATGTCCAGGGGCATAAAAATCATTAAAAAGCCACAACTTAAAAATCACTGACTTAGACTCGTCACTGATCATTCCTGTAAAGTTTGGATAAAATTGCAACAGTCTTATTTAAGCAGTGGTTCGAACAAGTTTTGTGACAAACAGATGGACAGACTACCGGGAGGTGATCCCTATATTGTTTTTAGAACAACCATGTACATCTTTATTTAAAAGACCTATACATCACTATAAAATTCATTTTAATCTTTAACTGTTATATCATAAAAAAACTCCCTTCCCTAGACTGTTCAATAAATAAATACAGTAGTTAATTTTAATGTATTAAAATATATTTTCTATTAAAAGTATTCCTTGCAGAAAATTCAATTTTTACACCATCTACAATTTCATTGACTCTGCCTTGACTTCTTCACTAGCCACGTTATCATTGTCTGATTTATTCTCAGTATTTTCTGAATCACAATCAATCTGAGATGGTGTTTCCTCAACCCCAACAGGTATATCTCATATAAATACAGCTTTATATTTTGACACTTTCAGTATTTAATGCACATACACAAATATATCAACCAAAGAAGGATTTCACTCTATTTAGATAAAACAAATAATTTTGCCTGTTCTATCTGTACGGACGAAATCCCTCCCGTCAAACACAATAAAGTCTCTCATATTAAAATGATAATGTGGTCAAAAATCATACCTTACAACTTAAGAATATTTCATTTATTTCAAAGTCATAGAAATTCTGCATGAAAAAATATTTTCGAATTTAGCGAACGATAAAGAATATTAAGAATTTATCCGTATTTAATGATTTATGGTTGTTAATTGTATATACACGTATTTCCTTATAGATGTATTATATAATCTATCTTTCATTACAGGTGGTAATGTAACAGATTCCACAAGAGAGACTACAACAAGCGCTGGTCACGTGATCTCTAAGACGCTCGCATATATTTCTTTCACTATTATTATTATAGAATATATTCTATTTCAATAACCAAATTCTCCTTTTTGTTCACTTTTTTGAAATACCCCAAAATAAGTTTTAAAAATAGAAAAAAAAAACAAAAACAAACAAAACAAACGTTACGGATGTTGTTTGCAGAAGAGCAGTGCAGAAAATGAAGGTGCTTAGGTTAAAATGAAGGACTTGTCCAGCTTCCATTTTTGGAACTGTCAATTATTAAGTTTGAGGAAATCAATGTAGACATTGGATCGGCCAATAGAATAAAGCCATGTCAGACTGCAATACTTAGTATGTACAGGGTGATCTGGCTCTGTTTACATGTCACAAAGGCTAATCACTTGCAGAAATATTACAACTTTTTACGTCAAAATATCTATTCTTGAAAAAATATGTAATCTTTGGGGATATTCTCTTGAAAAGTTGACATTATCTTTAGATATATTTTCATTTTTTGTTAAAAATAATGATGAATCACAAATGTTGAGTGAAAGCTTCCAAATAAAAATTATAAATTAAAAGTTAGTCATATCGGCAATGTCCGCCGTATCCGACAATGACGTCATCAAAGGGCAACAACTTGAAGCAAACGTTAAATAAAAAGCCCCGTATTTGTAACTTACATAATACGGATTTTTTGTCCGTTTAAATGTATATTAAGCATTTTATGACTTGCGTGCATTTTAAGGAGAAAATTCATGTGTATGTCATTTAAATATATTCTCGAAGAAACCTATAAATTCGTTATTTTGTATAACTATTCTTAATTATAAAGTATAACAATACAGTTCAAATGGCTTATGAAACATAAATTCTATACTCGACCAAAAACAATAACATAGAGTGAATAAGATCGCTAGTTTTACTAGTCTAGCTTAATCTTTGATTATTTTCATTCCAAATATGTTAAATGGTTTATATTTGATAACGATGGCATTCATCATCGACTTCTCTTAGTTTACATAATTCGCAAATTTCTTTATTACTGATGTAAAGTCGGTATTATGAACACAATTACAAAACAAGAAGATGTCATTGTAAAAATACGTTTCCATACGGAAACAGAAGTACATTGTACGTTAAATAACCTATATCTGTTTTTATAGTGCAAGCTAGTTGCTAAGAAGTTCTCTTTATATCCGATTGTCAGGAATCACTGACCACAAAACATGTAATTGTTAAGTGCATTTTCCCAGAAAACCATTTGTCAGCTCGTGGTAACGAATTTGAGTCCCAGGCAATACGGGAAATCTAGCTCACCTGAGCACAAAGTGATCATCATGGCAGTGTGTCCGTCGTCAGCCGTTGTCCGCAATTTCTTTTACAACAATTTTTTTAACCACTTGATGGACTTTGACCAAACTTTACAAGAATGATCCTTAAGTGGTATGACATGTGAATCATATCCTTAGAAATTACAATGACATGGTCATGAAGCACTCTGAAGCAGACATCTACAAACATTTTAAAAATTATGCAGTGCAGAGAAAATGTGACTTCCTCACTGGCTTTATTTTTTCTGGCATGAATCTCAGGTGAGCTATCCGGGGCTTTGATACACAATCTTTCTTGTTATATAAAAGCTATCTTTACTTATTGGTTTTAAATCTACAAGAAAATGCAGATCAGCAAACACGTCGGGCGAGGAATAACTTCAGACATAATTTTAGTGTCGTTATATTCTTGGTTAGCTTGTGGTAAGTCATTCAATATTTCATTTGCAGAAGTTAATGGTATTGTTTTTATATACAGAAATTGTTGAAAAAGTTTATGGGGCAGTGGAATAAAAAAATTGATTTCGAATGACCAAAATTTTATCAGCTAAATGAATAGTAAATGATAATGATGATGATATGGTGATGAAAATAATAAAATTGAGAATGAAAGTGACGATTATGATGATGAATAAACTAGATATCTATTAAGAAGTAATATTTCTTACAGCTGAAGACGATGGGGTGGCATTATTCAAAGGCGTTCACTTCCCTAAATCTCTGAATGTTCTTCCAGTAGTAGTAGGGTGAGTTAAGACTTACATTTTCCATAGATTATCTCGTGAAATTTCAGCAAAATTTTCCACGGATTGGTCCTATAAACCTTATTGTCGATACCGGACTGTCCAATCTTAGAACTTTTAGCGTAGACCAGACTCACAATTCCTAGATTTTAATGCATAGAACTGACTGACCAGCACTTAGTGTGAGACCGGATTGATCACATTGAGAAATTAATTCTGAGACCGGATTGACCACATAGAGAAGTTAATTCTGAGACCGGATTGACCACATAGAGAAATTAATTCTGAGACCAGATTGACCACATTGAGAAATTAATTCTGAGACCGGACTGACCACATAGAGAAGTTAATTCTGAAACCGGATTGACCACATAAAGAAGTTAATTCTTAGACCGGATTGACCACATAGAGAAGTTAATTCTGAGACCGGATTGACCACATTGAGAAATTAATTTTGAGACCGGATTGACCACATAGAGAAGTTAATTCTTAGACCGGATTGACCACATAGAGAAGTTAATTCTGAGACTGGATTGACCACATAGAGAAGTTTATTCTAAGACCGGATTGACCACATAGAGAAATTAATTTTGAGACTGGATTCACCACATAGAGTAATTAATTCTGAGACCAGATTGACTACATTGGGATTAATTCTGAGACCGGACTGACCACATAGAGAAGTTTATTCTGAGACCGGATTGAACACAAAAAGAAGTTGATTCTTACACCGGATTGACCACATAGAGAAGTTTATTCTGAGACCGGATTGACCACATTGAGAAATTAATTCTGAGACCGAATTGACCACATAGAGAAGTTAATTCTTAGACCGGATTGACCACCTAGAGAAGTTAATTCTGAGACTGGATTGACCACAAAGAGAAGTAAATTCTGAGACCGGATTGACCAAATAGAGAAATTGATTATGAGACCCGATTGAGAATTCATAGAACTGACTGACCAGCACTTAGACCGGATTGATCACATAGAGAAATTAATTCTGAGACCGGATTGACCACATAAAGAAGTTAATTCTGAGACCGGATTGACTACATTGAGAAATTAATTCTGAGACCGAATTGACCACATAGAGAAGTTAATTCTGAGACCGGATTGACCACATAGAGAAGTTAATTCTGAGACTGGATTGACCACATAGAGAAGTTTATTCTGAGACCGGATTGACCACATAGAGAAGTTAATTTTGAGACCGGATTGACCACATAGAGAAATTAATTTTGAGACCGGATTGACCACATAGAGTAATTAATTCTGAGACCAGATTGACCACATTGAGAAATTAATTCTGAGACCGAATTGACCACATAGAGAAGTTAATTCTGAGACCGAATTGACCACATTGAGAAATTAATTCTGAGACCGGATTGACCACATAGAGAAGTTAATTCTTAGACCGGATTGACCACATAGAGAAGTTAATTCTGAGAATGGATTGACCACATAGAGAAGTTAATTCTGAGACCGGATTGACCACATAGAGAAATTAATTTTGAGACCGGATTGACCACAAAGGAAGTTAATTCTGAGACAGGATTGACCACATAGAGAAATTAATTTTGAGACCGGATTGACCACATTGAGAAATTAATTCAGAGGCCAGATTGACCACATTGAGAAGTTAATTCCGAGGCCGTATTTACCACATAGATACGTTAATTCTGAGACCGGATTGATAAGCAATAAAGTTATTCAAATCCTGAAATGTCAAGTCCTAGAATTATTACAAAGGCCGGAGTCACAAATCCTTTGACTAACTGCTTCGAAAGATGATTAGCATATCTGGAACCTTTTGTCTAGACTAGACTGACCTGTTCCCTGATTCTGCTACCAAGACTGAAAAGATCGCAAATTTTAACAGGAGTAATTTAGTTCAGGGTTAGTGGTCACTTGACGGTTTACGGAAACATTGATACACCGTTAATGACCATGCCTACGACTTAAAAGGGATTTTTTTCTCATTTATACACCGTGTTTCAGGCAAAAAAAAATCCAAATCCACAAATCCAATGGTTCATAGTTTGCTTATATAACTTTTTGTGCTTTTCTCGATACGATTGCAAAAATTTTGACATAATGTTACCGCATATTTTCATCAAAATATTGTCGCATAAAAAATTTGAAAAGGACTAACTACCACCTGAACCGGCAAAATGATACGGAATACGGGAAATGTTTCTTATTCAAATATTGCGAAAGATTAAAAGAAAAATTAGCAATTGCATTTTAGTAATTGAAGCAGCCTTTGCTACGTTAAAAATGTTACGGTAAAAATATGTCACATGATTACCCACCCAGTTAAGTTTTACTATCTATAATGTATTTTGTTTGTTTTGCAGACGATACAAGCGTGGCTTTTTAGACATTGACACTGGTAGTCGAGCAACTCTGAGGCCACCTACAACAACAGTCTCACAAAAGACAACAACATCATATCCTACATTGCCAACACCGACAATAACAACAGTCTTAAACCCGTCTTCAACCCCAGATCATACTAGTGTTACATCAACGACACCACAAAGTCACCCACCAGAAAAACCAGCAGCAGAAGCAACAATATCTACAGTAACAACAGAAATAACATCAGGTACAGCTTAATATTTTGACACTTGCAGAAAAATGCACACATACAGACAATTGTATCGACCAAAGAAAGAATTTAATCAGTCATATAGAAGCAAACCACTGAGCTTTCCGCAGAATACGAATGACACAAGGAGTCGTCTCATAAAAAATGAAGTTGTCAAAAAAGACCAAAAAAAACAAAACAAAAAAAACCCCCCAAACATTCCTTATAAAAGTAAAAATATTGCATTCATTTAAATCATTGTTAAATTTTTCAATGTTACAACATTTCATTTCTCATTACAAACTATTTTTCCGGGATATTTGTCCGTATTCAGTGTTATAAGACTATTAATCTGTTTTTTTTCTAAGTTGTCAACGATTTTTTTCTTATAAACATCTATTTAAATATCATAAATGAAATACAATATAAGGAACTCTTATCTTTTCTTACAGGTGGTAATGTAACAGATTCCACAAAAGAGACTACAACAAGCGCTG